TTGTAATATAATTTAACCTGCTAAACTACACTTCCCACACATGAAAATAATGTAATCAAGCATTCATGGATTCTGCAGAGGAATATATGCATAGTTTTTCATTAACAATTGTTGGAATATTGGGTCATGCCATTTGGGCTAACACGACACATGACCTATTTGAATTAGTTCAAGGGAGTGATTTGATTTGGATACAAAACTTCGACCTCCCAATAGCCTTAACATAAAGTTAACAGTGTAGTGGACAATGTAAGTGAAAATATGAGAAGATCTTGGAAAGTATTCTTTTAAAGTAAGAAATTCTTAAACCCAAATTTTGATCATTGAGTGCTACATAATGTTACATCAATAAAAACATAATGCTGCAGCATTGACTTAGCCCCTGTTTGGGCTCCATATTTCCAAAAACTCATTGTTCGAAAACTCATTTTAAATCAGACATTCTCTCGCAAAATAATTTTAGACGTAAACCTAAAATTTTTCCTTATTTTTTAAGCACACATTCTCCCAAAAAAATAGCTATTCAAAAATACATTTTAATCCAAAAATGGGTCTCGAGTCTTGGACCTAGCCATTAGAACTATCAAATAACTAAACCACTGGCAAGAAGTAATGTTAAAAACCTAAGGTGACGACTACACAAACTGAATCATTTTCATCACATGCAATGTCACTTTAAGGAGCTCTAACCAGTAGGATTTGCAGCAATTAACTGCACGCCTACGCTCCTCACAGACTTCATGAGCACTGAAGCCTGGTTCTTGCAAGGCAGCTTTTGCAGCGATACCACAGAGCGAAGCAACTCTGCTGTGAGCCGAGCAGTTGCATGTGATCCCTCCACTTTACTGCCACCAGAAAATCAAGAAAAATACTATCGTTTCATATTACATGATAAAATTTTAGCGTATAGGATATTCCCATTTCCCTGTTCTTAAAATAAACAAAATCTATAAAAACTCCTCACCGTTTGTTAAGCTTGGCAACAAACTCATCCACCAGCCCTCGATAATCTGGCATTGTTTCAATCTAAGAACCTAAAAATCAAACAAAAGGAATACCCAGAAAGTTCAAGAACGTAAAAGTTTCAATCTGTTCTTTCAATTTTCATACTCAGAAACAGGAAAATCTATAACCCATTTTTTTAAATAAAAAAAAACAAAAAATGATAACTAAAAAAGATTCTACCCATCATACATTTATTTCGGAAAATAAATAAAGAACTGAAATTTTCTTTTACCTTCTTCGAGAAAGAAATCTTAAAATCTGCAGAGAAGATTGAGCAATGGAGTCTATTGTTGAGGGGTTTTGGGTTCTACCCCTAGCAAAATAATTTTTCGTTTCCATTTAATTTGGAAATTGCCT